TGTGTATTACTTTGCATTTATCAACACTGAATTTTATCTGACATTGTGTTGCCCATTCACCAGTTTTGTGAGATCCCTTTGTAACTCTTTGCCGTCTGCTTTGGACTTAACTAGCTGAGTACTTTATTATCTGCAAATTTTGCCACCTCACTGTTTACCCCTTTTTCCAGCTCATTTATGAATATGTTGAACAGTATTGGTCCCAGTACAGATCCCTGGGGGGATACCATTATTTACCTCTCTCCATTCTGAAAACTGAGCGCTTATTCCTACCCTTATTTTTTCTTTAAACCAGTTACTGATCCATGAGAGATCCATCCCTCTTATCTCATGACTGCTTACTTTGCTGAACAGTCTTTGGTGAGGGACCTTGTCAAAGGCTTTCTGAAGTCCAAGTACACTATATGCACTGGATCACCCTTGTCTATATTTGTTGACCTCCCTCAAAGAATTCTAATAAATTTGTGAGGGATGATTTCATTTTACAAAAGCCATGTTGACTCTTGCCCAACAAGTTCATCTATGTGTCTGATAATTGAGTTCTTTACAATAGTTTCAACCAATTTGCCTGGTACTGAAGTTAGGCTTACTGGCCTGTAATTGCCAAGATAGCCTCTCTAGCCTTTTAAAAAAAAATTTGTATCACATTAGCTATCCTCCAGTCACCTGGTACAGAGGCTGATTTAAATGATAGGTTACATACCACAATTAGTAGTTCTGTAATTTCATATTTGAGTTCCTTCAGAACTCTTGGGTGAATACGCCTGGTCCTGGTGACAATTTGTTCCAAAACCACCTCTATTGACACCTCAATATGGGACAGTTTCTCAGATTTGTTACCTAAGAATGGCTCAGGTGTGGGAATCTCCCTCACATCCTCTTCAGTGAAGACCAATGCAAAGAATTCATTTATCTTCCTTGCAATGGCCTTATCTTCCTTGAGTGCTCTTTTAGTATCTTGCTCGTTTAGTGGCCCCACTGATTGTTTGGCAGGCTTCCTACTTCTGATGTACTTAAAAAAAATTTGCTGTTAGTTTTTGATTCTTTGGCTAGTTGCTCTTCAAATATTTTTTTGGCCTGCCTAATTATAGTTTTACACTTCACGTCCCAGACTTTATGCTCCTTTCTATTTTCCTCAGTAAGATTTTACTTCCAATTTTTAAAGGATGCCTTTTTGCCTCTAACTACTTTTTACTGTTTAGCTATGGTGGCACTTTTTTGGCCCCCTGTTTTTTTTAAGTTGGGGAATATATTTAATCTGAGCCTCTATTACGGTGTTTATAAAAAGTTTCCATGCAACTTGGAGGCATTT